GTCGATCGGCGACCTCACCCAGCGATTGCTTCTGACCCGATCGATGGACCTCGTCCGGACCTCCGGCATCAATGGGGGCGGCCCATCCGGCAACCTGAGGGTAAAAACCACATTGATCTGGACCCCTGGTGAAATCATGAAGTATAGGGTGGCCAAGCACGGGCCAAGCAGTTGTGGTTGACTGTTGGTGTCGCGGACTGGTGCATTTTACGGGGGTCTTCAGCTGCAACGATCTCCGAGAACGGTCAGCCAGGTGTGGAGAGCTTCGCAGGCTTCACTGGCTTAGGTTAGATACGGCTTGTCCAAATGTGAGAGCTGCCTGGCTCACGTCTCTAAAGCCGCCTACTGGGAGCGGATGGCATAACCCCAACTTCGGATGACCCTTGTCCGAAGACCAAAGAGGTGGTGCCACCCACTTCCATGATTTCAGGGAGTGCACTCCCCTGCCAATCAACATGGAACCCCAAAACCACTGGTTTGTAGGGGAAACTGGTTGAAGCCGCCCGTGAATTCTCAGGTTCCATGGGATCGGTGGCGGGCCGCGTGACGGGAGCGATGAGCCCGGCCGGCCGGGATCGGAGGATGGAAGCGATGGAAGGAACACGTGTGCAATGGTGAGCAATGGGTAGTCCCCGGGTAGGAGCACTGTTAATACAAGTACACTGTAAATACGTTATAAATATATCATTTAAACACAGATACACACACAGATATATGAATATATCTATCTATCTATCTTATACAGTAACTACATTACATAGTACTACATATTATACAAGGGACTCCATTCCCTTATGTGGCACAGGGGCCCAGGGGTGATTCTCTGGATAAAAGCTTTGTGCAGTCACAGTCACAGTCTCTCTTGTTTTTGTTGTGTGTTTTGTTTTTCTCTGTCTCCCTCTATCTCTTTATAAAAAAACCTTCCAAACGAAGAAGTCCAGGCAGTTGAATACCCATACCTGACTGAGCTGGTCCTGGGGTCTTTTCAGTTGATGGACCCACACCATCTGCCATGTGACCCAGAAGGTCTTTGAGCTCACCAACGTCATATTTGAGCTGGTCCAGGTCCTGCGACAAAAACACATCAAACAGGAGACAAGTGCTTAATTAAAGGAAGCCCAGAAACAACAACTTCCATTTGCTCGCACAGGTTAAAAAGCAGCAAAAATACACAAAACATAACAACAGCACTTGGTGTACCTATCAATGACTCATGTCTCATGAAAACAACCTCCTCACGCTGTCAGAAAGTTGAGAAGTAAACAGTAGACTCACCAACATGGAAGTGGAACACCTCCTGCGTTTACGTCCTCCCAGGAGTCATTCCACATTTCCATCATATACTATAAAAGCTACTAGGAACAAGTGCATCGCTTCTAGTAACAAGTGCCTTACTAGTAGTAACAAGAAGCTACTATGTCATACTATATCCACATCTATCCACATACCATCCACTTCCATATGACTTCGTGGAGACCGGAGCCGAGGTCCCCGGTCCGTCTCGGTCCGTCTCGGTCCTCCGCCATGGTGTCCAAGCCAGCGGCCCCCCCTGCGCCATCCACGGGCTTGGTCGAGGAGGCGCCGCGGTTCACATGGCTGAGCTTCTTGTCGAAGTCCTGTGGACGTCAGGCAAACGTGGCACGTTTGCCCAAAGCTACACTGGCTGGTTCAGGGCTGGGGTTCCCGTTCAGCGCCCGCGTCGTTCCATTCACACCCTGCAAGTCTAGACTGCGATGGCCGTATTTTTGGAGGAACCTGGAAGGTCATGGAAGGTCAGCCGGCTATTGAATCGGGGGCATCCTGCCAAGTCTCAGGTCCAGATTTTCAGAAGTATCTGCTTCAGGTTGAGTTGGGCCCTATTAAGATGAAACCGAGCCCAAAAACAAAGAAAAGGATAATGAGGGTTGTCTGTGGTCTCTTCTCTGGGCCCCTTCTTGGACCTGGGGCATTTGCATCCCTGTGATTTTGATCATAGTATTTTCCTTTCATTCGCATAAGTTACAGTAAAAAAGAAACAAAAAGCCGAAACCAGCCGGTCCATCCGGTGTCATCAATAGTGTCAATATATTGATGGGGTCGATGATTTTGTTTATTTCTTCCTTCCTGTTCATATATTTTGAGGGACTAGGACAAACACATAAGTAGCAAAAAAGAAGGGCATCATGAATGAACAAAAAGAGTTGTAACCCATATTCCAAGCAAAAGCCACGGCAACTACCTGCCCTGCACCAAACGTCGGACATAGAAGCCAGCACCGTCTGCCCCCAGATCCATCCATCCGTCCCCGGTCCGTTTGCAGGTTTGAGAGCTGCGCCGTGATCTGTGATTCGAAATCTTGGAGACGCGTCGCCACCTTCCTCACGACGTGCGAAGAATTAGGAGCGGTGAGACCCATGTGCACGAGGTGTGCATTGGAATAGGGGAAACGTACAACTAACATTGACAGGTCGACCTCTTGCCAGGGAGACTCCCAACTGAAACACTGGTTATGTCTCCATGGAGGTTGTTTGCATCCACCAATTGATGGAGATCACTTGAAAAAAGATAGGAGTTTTTGATATAGAGGATGCTAGAAGTTCTGTTGATAATCCTCGAGTCGAATGCTGACTTTGCTTGTCCCTAGTTAGTTCCAACATGTTGCAAATATATGATGCGTATATAAATAACAATTATATAACTATACATGCATACTGCATACATATAAAGATATGTTGTGCATGTCATACATGTATAATCACGTATATACGGAGACCACTACGGATACCTTGCTTATTGGGCAAGGTCTGTAGAAAGGAACACCTTTAGCAGGAGAGCTCCATTTGAGCTGAATCATGTTCCGTGGATGTCTGATGGCTGTATAGTCATGGTGCTTTCTGTACTGCGAGAGGTGCAGGTTGCTTTGTATAGGATGGCTAGCAGGGACGGGTTTCTTGGATCAGTTTCATCGATGCTCCTCGAATGCGAAGACTGCCAAGAAGACAACAAATTGCCAACCCTTAGAGGTAACTTAGTTGGAGCCCATCAATAAGTAGATAGATCTAGCTGTGTCCCATCTACTCCAAGCTGCATGCAGTCTTTGTTTCGGTCTATGGACCCTGGCGTGCTTTATTAATCCACGTCCTCTCAATGGACTAACTGATTCCTCACCCATCCACCCCCCTTCTGAGCCCTGAAATCCCTGAGCCTGCTATTCTAATGCCGCTGCGAGTCTTCATCACTTGTGCATCGGACCCAGCTTTGCGCGGCGCTCCTGGGCTGGGCGTTCCCGGTGGCAATGGACAGGAAGACCTCTAGTGGGAAGTCTTCATCTTTCAAAGCCAGCTCCAAGTCGTCATAGAAACCAAAGATGCAAAGGAATCTGGACCTACAGAAACACCTATATAAGGTCCTGGAAGTCAAATGTATCGACAAAACATCACATATATTCACAAACTATCATTCCCCTGGTTAGAGAGAGAGCTGTCATGGTGCTCCAAACCCTCTAGACCTGTCTTTCTTGCGGGGAGCTCATGGCATCAGTCTACAACAGAAATTCTATGACATTGTCATATACACAGTGCAGTACGTGGACTTGAACCTCTCTCTCTCATGTTTTTGCGGTGCCCACCTTCGGAAGCAGGATTTTCACCACCAAAACGGGATGACCAAACTGACACACCCGGGTTGCACCTCGCGGTTTTCCCACGTTTTGCCGTTGTTCTTCGGTCCTCCATCCTCTTCCAAAGCTTTCTCGACAGCTGCCAAGCGCTGCTGTAGCTCTTCCAGGCTGGGGCCAGCGGGAGGGCCAGTGCCAAGGGGTGCCTGAAAAGTCCGGAACGAGAGACCTCGGAACTGACCTCGGAGACTTGGAAAACACACGACATGGAGCCCGAAATATTCCCAGCACTATCCCCCAGACACTCTGGAGGCTTGCCTGATGTGCAAAACAACCCCTGCTCTCCGCCCCATCACGCACCGATGCATGTGATACTTGGGGTTGTTGATTATGCAAGGCTCAGCTTTTGCCAAGACTCCTATACAAACGGATATAGAGTCAAAATACTAGTCAGATGCGCTGCGCAAGAGCAAAAACCCATACTTTCCCCAGCATTGCATGTTTCCTGAGCTAGGGCCTAGGGGTATATCGGAAAAAATGCACTCCAACCATTGCATGTGCGTATACTGATTATTGGCTTTGCAAATTCTGGGTTATCAGCCTCGTTATCAAACCCCAAAAAAAGGCAATGACTCACCACTACTCACGCAGACTTTGCCCGGGCAAAGCACCCAGCACTTGTGGAGAACAGTACTCCAATATACGCAAATACAGTTCTTTTTCTTTGACTTGCTTTAGGAAATTTAGGAACCGGTAAGAATAAAGATAGAGAAAGAACATCCCCCAAATGGGGGTTCACGGCACGGGGGGTTGATGTTGACATCACCCCAAACAAAAACAAACCATGGATTCTATATATAGTGTCAGTCTATATGTCATTCTATGTCCATTGCCATCTTCAGATGTTCCATCTGTTGCCATCTCCTCGGTCATCACTTCGGCCGAGACACTGCCATCTTCGAGCGGGCGTCGGGAACGCCGCGTGGATCGGAGAATATCGGAGATGTCGGGACACGCGGCTGGAGCCAAAGGCTGGGAACGGTCGGTGGGTTCCTTCACCCGAGCTCCGGTTCCAGAGTCCCCAGCTGCAACCAAGCCTTCTGAATCGTTTGAAGTCTGGGCGAACCAACCAAACTAATGCATGTCCCCATGCAAGAATCTGAGCACACAACTTGCTGGGGTACTGAAGCACTGACATGACAAAGAACCCTGGAAGCAAAACCCTCGCTCATCGCTTCTGCCCAAACTTCAGTACAACCCTTCATGATGCAGCTGCAGAAGTGGACTACTTGCACCACCGTGGCCGAACAAGTGCACCAAGTTTTTACAATGTGTTTGACCTCCTTCCTGAAAGCCTCTTTTTCATTCTTTTTCCTCTTTCTTCCCCGACCCCCCAGTGCCCCGCCTCCGAGGCGCTCGGCGCCAAAACAGCGCCCTGGAGCTCGCTCTGGCAGAGCGCCTCGCGGCAGGAGGACCCACCAAGCGGAAGGGGCGGCTTGACCGCCGTGTGCGATGAAAGCCTTGGTGACCGGCTTTGTGGGATGAAAATGGTTGACCAGGCGGGTACGAGTTGTATGGGGGGATCATGGCCCTAATTACATGGAATGACTTTGGGATTGGAGAAGGAAACGATCAGCATCTCTCCAGTCTGTGGACTCGTCTCCAGTCCACGACTTGCATCAATCATGTCATCTCTACAACGGGGGCGTTCCGGAGCAACTAGGTGCATGTTCATGCACTTTCCGTGGTACCATATGAGCCTACTAAAGGAATACGCCATACAGAACCTCGCACCTTTTTGGGGCTTGCGAAGCCGGGTGCTGCCTGTGCCAGTCGTCTACGATTCTCTGGGTCAGCCACTTTCTCCACCCAGCTACACAGGAAGTGTCGCAACCTTTTGACGTGTTAGGATGAAACACTTGTCACTTGAGTATGAGTAGCCGCGACTGGCCATGTTTCCATGCTTCTGTTCTGTCATGCTCGTTTGCTGGTGCACTAGACATGGATCCACTCATCTCAGAACACCACGGTGGCAAGCATGCAGCCCAAAGACTGCCTCAGTGTCACTGGATTCCAACAAAAAGGTCCAATCCTTGCTTACCGCGGAGACCCTCCATCCACTAGAAGGCCACACAGGCCATGCAGCTTGTCTTCCATCTTTAGAAACAAGAAGCTAGTAGTAACAAGTGCATCGCTACTAGTAACAAGTGCCTTACTACTAGGAACAAGAAGCTAGTAGAAACAAGAAGCTTGTAATTAGAATTAACCATCCAGAAGGCCACACAGGCCATGCTTGAGCTTTTCTTCCTCCATGTTTGTTGCGGAGCCCAACGCTCCGTGAGCCCAACGCTCTGGGTTTTCGACGCTCGGCCCAGCAGGCAGTGTTGGACGGCCGTCATCCCACATTCTGAATGGATGAGCACCCTTACATTGACGGTTCATCGATATGTCTTTACGCCCTGAAAGGTAAATATGGAACCCGAAACCACTGGCACTTTGTGGAGGAAGCTCGTCTTCCAAAGGTCCTTTTCTTTTTCAGATTCCATGTTAGTCTTCCGGGTTTACATTTCAACCACTGTACTGTAGGACTTTCCACACTAGTTACAACTGCTGAGGCACAAGATGTTGTTGGTCATGATCTCATCGATATCCCTTTCCAGCCGCTTTTTAGCATCCACCTTGCCGGCCTGGCGACGAAGAATGCAATGAAGAACTAATCAGGACAGACTTGTTCCCAAACCATCCAAAGGGTGTCCAATGGAGATCTCTACATAGTGTCGGGTAGTCTATTTGACACCGATGGTCCGCCTGGCGCCCAGCGAGGTCCCATTTGGAGCAAGCCACCATTGGTCACCATAGTTATCCACACAAATGGCGAAGTTGACTGAATGTATTTCTAGAATAACACTGAGAATGCGCGTTCCATGCAGAACATGTATCATCATTTATCCATCTCCCTCTCCGCTGTATATAGTCGAGCATGTGGACAAGTGACTAATATGACCAATCAGCCTGCCTGTTAAACTAAAGACGCCTTGACTCAAACCGACCCGAGAATTGAACTGGGAAATCATGGCGCCTGGTTCACAACGAATTCATCCTCGGTGCTCTTGAACTCCTCCTGGATCATCTTGTTGTATTTCTCCTCGGTCGGCCGCGACTGCCGCCAGCCGGAGAAAAAACAAACAAACAATCGATGTAGAATGCCATTCTAGCCCACAGTCTCTCTGGTTGGTTGGTTGAGCACAATCAATCACTTAAACACTTGTTAAATGTAATTTGGCACTACTGCTACTCTTCCGTTGGGCTGAAACCCGCACATATCAATTGACTGAATCGAGGTGATCCACCGCAGTGGAAATGCTTCATTTTCAAGCATTCATCAAATCATGAAATCTGATCAAGTCTATATAGGCCGTCTGTACTACATCTTGGAATCTTGACAGGCCCTAAGCGCTACAGATTTCCTTTCTTTTAATGACATCACAGCATATCAAAGCCTCACACCTACCAGGTCAACGCTTGTTCAGAAGGAACAAAAAAAGATCAAACACGAAAGGTTCTCGGTTCCAAGAACTATATAATTGACCTGAGAGGTCAACTACTGTTACTACTACTACTACTACTACTACTCCTACTCCTACTCCTACTCCTACTCCTACTACTAGCGCTACTATCCGTTCCAACAACCTGCTGGCCAGGTTGCAGTGAGATCCAGCATCTCTTTGACCTGCCGACTGTCGGAATCAGCAACCAGGCCACAAAGGGCCACAACACTCAGCTTCACCACACGTCACGTTCCCTCCTGCGCGACACAACTATATAATATAAGGACCCTGTCTGTTACAGTCTATGCATTTGCGGTGTACTGCATTTAGATGTACAGTAAAATGACCTGCGTATCACATACAGTGTTGTAACGTACCTTTATCTGCCTTTATTTATCGCATTGTCTCATATACCGTACTTCTATGTAGCACATCTTCATGCCTTGCTGGCATCCTGGGAAACATCTCAACCTAGCCTACAGAAACAATATATGTATATATATATGTGTGTGTGTCCAAACCTGACTCCTGAAAATGGCAGAAACGCATGTATGTAAAAACATGTACAGTAATAATATATATATATATGTATGAGATGAATGTTATCCTTGGGTCCTTTGAAAGGGATCTGTTCGTGTCCAGACACAGTATCCTTTGAACTGCTTAAGCATGAAAAGTACCTGGTACCTCCTTGCAGCCCAAGTGCAGTCTTCTCATTGTCACTCTCATGAGTGTCGAAGTTCGTCAACTTCAAGCCATCCTGAACTGCGCAGAAGTCACTGCGCGGCGCGGCTGAACAAACAGCTTTGACCAGCCGAAGTGGCTCACACACCAAAAAGCAACATGCAAAATCATGTATATATATATATATACATGTCATATTACGAATACGAGTAACCAGTCCTCCGTGACCAGTCAAATTGGCTCTGAGCCAATCCGTGCTTAAGCTGCTGTTCATCTTCTCAAAGAGCCTTTTCTGCAGCCTTTGCTCGTCGTTTCCGCCGTCCTGCCATTTCTTCTTGCCGAGGTTGAGGAGCATCTTCTGCTCGAGGTCGTTCTTTCGGTAGTTGATGGCAATGGAGTAGTAGTGACCTCAGAGTGTCACAGCGACGTGTCTTCCTCTTCGAGCGCCACCAGTACTCTTCTGCCCGACTCTACCCAGAGACCATGGAACTCCTGGGAAGCAAGCATTGCCGAGTTCCCAGTTCCACCCTCCCTATATATTACATTCTATTACTAAGTATACCACCTGCGGCGGAGTTGCAGGAGAAACACATTGAACCAAACATGGCCAGTGCTGGGACTTGACTGCAGTCTGCACCGGAGCCAACACCCGTGTTCCAACTCGCCAGCCTTTCAGTGGCCAAAGCCAGCTCTTTAGGAGATCTGATGGCTCCGAAACTGGAGTCCGACCAGGACTCCAGGACTACCCTTGTCTTACTCACCCACGCCTGTGCCGCATGTGTACCACTACCACCTAGTACCAGTGTGTACATGTGCAGCATTGTGGCGAGATCTTTCCTTCTGGTGTAGTGATGCAGTCGAAGGCTGCAAAACTATATAAACAATATCAAGCTTGGTCAAAATGGGATAATTCTTTAGTTCCCCAGCGCCGACCAAGGCAAGCGCCTATTCTTGTTGGCTCAAGACCTCATGCCTCAGCCATCATGCGCTTGGCTTCAGGAGACTCCAATTCCGGCGGGTGTGTCACACTGAAGGCTGTGGCGGCCAAGAGTCCCGCCAAAAGCTCCACCAAAACGTAGGACGTGGCGCTGACAGCACCGCCGCCCGTGGCGGCCAAACCAAGACTCACTGCAGGGTTCAAAGATCCTCCTGACACATTTCCAATCGCGAAGCCCCCCACCACCACGCAGAAGCCAATGGCCAGGCCAAAGAAATGTGAAGCCTTGGTGACAGCGGACACGGCCACCGAGAGAACCACATAAGACAAGGTGAAGGTGAAGACCAGCTCGGCCAACAACGCCTGATAGAGATGATACGGCTCCTTGGCGCCAAAGCTCCCCATCGGCGCGCCGAAAAGGCCCACGGCGACCAAGGCCGCAAGCACGGCGGAGAGCACTTGCACCACCATGTAGAGCACGGCCTTTGTGGAGGTGAAGGTGCTGTCACGCGCGCTGAAGAAGACGGCACAGGTGACAGCAGGATTGAAATGACCACCTGACACATCCCCCAAAGCATAGATCATGGCGGACAATGAGCATGCAATGCTGAGTGCTGCCGCGGGTGACTTGGCCAAGACATTGCTGCACACCGTGAGGACCAAGACAAAAACGCCCAAGAACTCACTGAGCAGCGACTCCTGCAGCTTGGTGCTGCTGCTGGGTACCTCGAAGTCACCTGGCCTCACTTTGCTAAAGAGAAAGGCGGCCAAGAGGGCGCCCAGGAGCTCAAAGATGACCTTGGAGTTCCAAGAATCACATGAAGAACAAAATGAACTCATGAAGAACAAAAGAAACTAAAGTCATCCCATGGTAGACTCCCTAGACGTAGATTGTTCAAAGGGATTCACAGGGGACATGAGGGCATCCTTTTCAAACAATCAGCTCAAGGAAAACCAGGTGACATAAAGGAAGCAGTGCCCGAAGCCATGACTCAGGCTGGTGACATCCAAAGAGAAGGCCACCGCTGGATTGAAAGCGCCGCCAGAGATTGCACCAGCACCATAGGCACCTGCCACAACGCAAAATCCAATGGCCAATGCAAAGTACTGGCCCTTCTCCTCCTGGTTCTTCTTGGCTGCAGCAACGTTGAGCACCACGAAGCAAAGCCTTGGATATGCAATGCGCCAAAAAGGAACCAGGATGAAACAAAAACGCACAAACAAATTTCATAAACATGTCCGGAGCAAACAACTATTTAAAAAAAAACACTATCAGAAATCACCCTGAGC